ACATTATGTACAGCAGCTCTGAACCCTTTCCTGTCCTGAGTCACTCTCACTAATTCTGAAACACCAACCCCCATTGCCCCAGCTACGGTATTAATCCATCTATCCAGGTCTTCCTCGCCTATGCTGTCCCTCCACACTTCCAAGATGATGTCCTTATCCAAGGACAAGTCTCTTCTGACCATGTGCCCAAACTATGTGAGATGGAGCTTCAGAATTCTAGCCTCCAAGGAGAGACTTGATTTCACCCTCTCCAAGACAGACAGACACATTTGTTTTCTTGGCAGTCCGTGGTATGGTCAAGACTCTTCTCCAGCACCAAAACCCATGGCATCGATTCTTCTTCTGTCATCCTTAGTCATTGTCCAGATCTCTGAAGCATAACAAGCAATTGAGAAGACCAGGGCCTTTTTAGGTGCACTTTTATCTCTGGGAGCATCTTAAGGGCAGAGATCACAATTCTCAATCTTCATATGAGTTTTTAGAATACTATCCCTCACATAGTGGATCTCAACTGGATAACTAAAGAAGATAAGTTCCATTCTCCAGAAAAAGCAAGAACAAGAAAAAATAATGTCATAGCATTAAAATGCATATAGAAAAGATACAAATAATCATGAATTTATCAGAAAAAAGGAATGACATATAAAACCACAACCTAACCACTTGTCTTGGAGTCGATTCTGATTCATGATGCCCCATGTATTACAGAGAAAAACTCTACCTCACAGGATTTTCAAGGCTATGGCCTTTTAGAAGCAAACCATCGGACGTATTTTTAAATACAAGTCTACATGAGGTAGAACCACCAACCCTCCAGTTAGTAGAAGAACGCTTAACCATTTATATCACTCAGGGACTCTAGTAAATGATATACTAGCTTTTTGAATTATAAATTTCTTATATTTGAAATGTCTGCCTGGAAAATGTGTGGTAAATAAATCAAAGTAAAAAGAAATTGTTTTCTTTTCTACACAATTGCCTAGAGCTCCTTTCCTGAATTCACAGTTCAGAACAAAAGCATATCCATGTCTGGAATGATCTCCTACCTGAATTAATAGGAGGAGGTAAGAAAGAATCTAATGAAGGACAATATTAATACAAAAGTAATCTACAAACTGCTCCCTAGAGATGTACACAGAAATAGAAGAAAATGTAGGGATAGGGTGACAACTTATAACTCACTTTTGCATGTGGAAATTCCTACATTGCAAAATTTAAAAAAAAAATAAACTTTGTATACTATAAATGGCAAAATTAATTTATTTTATACTTACATAACATATAATGCATGAACCTTAAGGTCATCAGTCTTGAAAAAATTAACTAACCCAATATAACAGATGAATAATTCCAAGTCCTTTTTCATCCAGTACTGTATTTTCCATTTTATACCTGAATTAAAAATAAACTACATTAAATCTGGAAAAGACATTCTAAATAGCTCAGTGAGAGAGAAGAGCGAAATTGAATTTACCAATATTCTTATACCACTTCCACTGGTCATTTTGATAGAACAAGAATATCTCTAGCTGGTGGCACAAGTTCTTTCAACTCATTTAGTCCCATAGGCCCACAGTTTCTTTCTTTTCTTGTAAAGTTTAAAAAAAGAAATGTATTACCAGCTCATAAACTGTTTAGGTGTTTGTTGTTTATGGGGTTCTTTTTTGTTTTTTGTTTGTTTTTACCCTGAATCTTTTAAGAAGGACCAAAGAATAAAATTTCAGTTCATTCTCACTTCCAAAGAATAAAAAGAACACTATATACCAAAGTACAAACACTTTTGAAAGGATCTTTGTGTCTGCTTTAGTAGCAAAAGAACAGTGATTCACAATTGAATTATGACACATCTCAAAATCTTAGCACTATAATGTAATGGTCTTGTGTATTGTTGAGTCAGAACTGACCGCTAGCTGACACTCCAGAGGGTTTTTTGGAGGCTATAATTGCTTGAGAAGAGAATGCCCATCTTTCTCACACATAAGTGCCTGCCTTCAGATTGTAGCACAGCTTTTTTCCTCTAGGCCACCAGAGCTCTCTTTTAATATGATAGATGTGAAATGCGAAAAGACGAGAGAGTTTTATTTCCTATTTCCTATTAAACACTGAAAAACTGGGTTAAAATTTGACTGAAAAGCAGAATTAATGATGTTGATGAAATATTGATAGTCTGTCACTCAAAACACAAGAAGAATAAAAACGGACTTAGGACCATTTTAATGCCCTCTAAAGCAAACTGTACTTGGCAGAATAATAAATTTAACTCCTTATAAACTTTCAATTGACCAAATAATTTTAGATATAAACCTTAATTTCACTTAGAAATCTATCTAGTAGTCTTAAATTATACCTGAAATTAAAACTTACTGCATCAGGGTCACACATTCCTACTCCATCCTTCAAAACTAAAGAAAAGGTTAACATATCAAGGCCCAGCCCAAGGGCCTCAACTTCTCAAGTTTATTCTTAGGATGTTGTTGTTGTTGTTAGGCTACTAAGCAATTAATAAATTGCAAAATTCTTTTATACTTTAAAACAATGCTTCATTTACAATCAAATTAAAATCTATAAATTCAATAAGGGACACAATATTACAACTGTCAACAGGCTTTGAAGTCTGAATTTACCCTATTCCTGTTTTTTTCTTTATTCCTGTTTGCAGCATACTGATAGGTTTCTTTTTAGCTAATCAGTGATGCTCAATTTGTAGTGATGTAGCCTTCCAGAGTAGGGAACAACTGAAAATGTCTGGGATAAGTTTTGATTGTTACAATTTGGAAAAATACTACCAGTACCTAGTGGGTAGAGGCCAAGACTACTGTTAAAACATCCTAAAATATTCAGCACAGTTCCTGACAACCAAGAATTATCAGGTCTAAAATGGCACCGCTGCTGAAGGTGATAAACCTCTATTATTCCTACTGAACATGCTATACTTAGGGAGTCTTGTAAGTTCCTTTTTATTGCTAAACTGACTCTGCCCTATTTTACTTCAATACTACAGGATATGATTTTTTTTAATTTCCAGATGCAACATTACTGACTACACTAACTTAACTATGCAAGGTAAACATTTTATTTTACAAATTTTATTTCGTTTATGATCAGATGATTGACCCTACTTTTATTGTCAATACAAGCTGATGATATATGTTAAAATACACATCCTTAAAAAAACTACTTCATTCACATTATTTTTAAATATCACAACACTATTCTCCATGTTTGAAAATTATAATTAGTGGTTGGAACATTAAGTACTTACCTCTTTCTCTAAAACAGAAATAATTTGCTACTGAATAAAACAGCTCCTCAACTGCATGTTGAGAGCAGTTTTTATATTTCTCACTCCAAAAACAACAATGGGAAATTGTTTGGGAAGATAAATTAGAAAAGTAGGTAGCACTGGTATTAAAAGCAGCTTCAGCAACTGGTTTATAATTTCCATTTAAACTTGAAGTGTTCTTTGACATTCTTTCAGAAGACGAGGGTAAGTAATAGCTTGTGTTTGATAGCATGCAAGACATCTTCAATCTCCAGCGAGTAACCGGATATAAAAAATTAAATGTTGTTGTTGTTGTTGTTGTTATTTGCCCTGCAGTTATTGCATAAATGAACTCTGTTAAAATAATTTGGAAAATATGGAAATTAGTTAATCATTTTGAATAAAATGGGGAAATATCTGACCAAGTTAAATGCAGTTATTACATAAATAAACTGTTAACACATTAAAAGGACACAGAGACAAGCAATCATTTTGGTGAAGTTATAAATGGGAATTATATGAAAATTAAGTCTGTGGTACTAAAAATAATACAAAAACAAAAATAAAACACTTCCAACTCATTCAAATTTGTAGCTGACCTTCCAGCAATTTTTCAGAAGTTATAAATCACATAGGTGGAAACTGTCCATCTTTCTACTACTGATCAACTGGTCAATTCAAACAGGCTCTAGCATCACAATTCCCTGTGAACTATGTCACCAGGGCTTTCACATTGTACTTGGTAGTGACTGTTCACTTTCTAAGTGTCCAAATGATGACTAAAGCATAGCTCTTTGCTTCCACTTTACAAGGTGGTGAAAATGTACTTTAAAGAGTACATTTATTTTGTAGGAATAAATTCACTTTCTGATATCCCTTTCTAGAAACTATCACTTTCTTTTCCACATCTATTTAATATCTTTATATTTACATTTTAATGACAATAAATTATGGATAAATATTTTCCTTTCTAAAAACAGAATTCTTTAGGGAGCTCAGGTGGCCTAATGCCAAGAAGCTGCACTGCATTCCCAGAGGTATGCGGTTCTAATCCACCTGACGCTCTGCTGGAGAAGGAGGGGCAATCTCCTGTACCAGTCAGATCCGATTTGATGGTACACACAAAAAAATAATAAAAGGAAAATAAATTAAAAAACCCAACAGAATTCTTTTTGATGAGTCAGGTGGTGAAGAAAATGGGAAAGATCCAATGTGAAAAACAATGTATATTAACTTTGTAAAGAAATCAGTAGGTGGTTGTTGTTGTTGTGTGCAACTCATAGCAACCCTATGTACAACAGCCCGAAACCTTACTCTATATCTTGCCAATCGTATTGTCTCTGACACACCTATCCCACTCAAGTAATGGAATCAATCCATCTCATTGAAGGTCTTCCTCTCCTGTGCTGTCCCTCTACCCTCTCAAACATGACATCCCTCTCCAAAAACTGGTCTCACCTTGCAACATATCCAAAGTATGTCAGACGGAGCTTCAGAATCATTGCCTCCTAGGAGCAGCCTTGCTTCACTCTTTCTAGGTTGAACTTGTTTGATCCGCTAGCAGTCCACGGTATATTCAATATTGTTTTCCAGCACCAAAGCTCAAAGACATCAACTCTCCTTCTATTATCCTTAGTCATTGTCCAGCTCTCTGATGCATAGCAAGAAATGTTAAAGACCACGTCCTGTATCAGGTGGACCTTTGTCTCCAGACTGACATCGTTTCTCCTCAGTACACCTTGGTGAGGTTTCTGACTGCAGACTTTCCCAGTGCAATTTGTCTTTTAATTTGCTGGCTGCTGATACCAAGAGTGTTGATTGTAGAGCCAAGTAAATTGAAGCAGTTAACAATGTCAATCTCTTCATCATCCATCATGATGCTGCCAATCAGCCCAATGGTGAGAATCTTTGTTTTCTTGACATTGAGCTTCAATTCATGTTGAAGGTTTCAATCCTTGATCCTCCACAGCAAGCCCTTCAGGTCCTCCTGTTGATGAGTCTACTTCCATTCCTAATGCCACACTTGCTCTCGGATAAACTGTTCCACATATAGGTTGAAAAATATGGAGATAGAAAACATTTCTGGCATATACTCTTTCCAATTTTGAACCACGTTATGTTTCCTTGCTCTGTTCTGAAAACTGTCTCATGGTCTATGTATAGGTTTCGCATTAGCATGATCAAGTTTTCTGGGATTCTCATTCTTCTCAAAGTCAGCCAGAGAATTTTGTGATCCACACAGTCAAATGCCTTTGCATAGTCAATGTTATACAGATATAAATACCTCTGGTACTCTCTGCTTTCAGTCAAGATCCATCTGATATTACCTATAATATCCCTAGTGCCATGGCCTCTTCTAAATCCAGCCTGCACTTCAGGCAGTACTCTGTTGATGTGTTGTTCCAGTCATATTTGGATAATCTTCAGCAGAATCTTGCTTGCATGTGACATCAATGCTATTGTTTGATAATTTCCACACTCTGTTGGATCTCATTTTTTGAATGGAAACAAATACAGATCCCCTCCAGTAAGGAGGCCAGATGGTTGTCCTCCAGATTTCTTGGCAAATTTTGTGAGAACATCCAGGAAAGCATCTGGTGAAATATGTCAATCAGTATGCAATCAATTTTGGGGGCCTTGTTTTTTGCTAAATCTTTCAGAGCAGCTTGAACTTCCTCCTTTATCACCACAGACTATTGCTCATATGTTGTTTCATGAAATTCTTCTGTGTCCACAATTCCTTTTTTTTACAATGGCTGTGTATAACTTTTCCATTTTCTTTTAATGGTTCCTGGATCATTTCATATTCAACCCAAAGCTTCCTTAAGTTTTACAACTCGAGGTTTGAATTTGTTCTTCAGTTTCTTCAGCTTAAGGAATGCTGAGTGAGTTCGGCGCTTTTGATTTTCTGTCTCCGGTTCCTTGTACATTTCATTGTAATACTTTGTCTTCCCGTGCCACCCTCTGGAATCTTCTGTTCAACTCCTTA